ATATTTCATTCATTTTAGGATGCTTGCATGTGTTGTTGCTATGGCTGTGTACATGGAAAATCTGCGGATCTCTTTGCCATATTATTCGATCGAGAAGAAGCGCTTTTACACAACAAAAGTTCGACTTTTTGGGCAATTTCCGGTAATTTATTTATACATAGATAGCATCTCAGGAATTCATCACTCACCAAATGAAACTTGTCGTGATTCCGTATGTGCAAAACGGCTCTTCAGATGATCATACTTATCATCCTCAATTAGAAAGTTTCCACAAAAAAGATGTAAACCCTAACTGCCAAAAAGCCATTAGAGAATACTACGCATTCTATGTACTGAGTATGTGCGAATGAAGTCACACCAGGTAGAAATGGTACTGGACCAATACTTAAGAAGATTGTGTTCTTCTACACTGAAAAATTTTTATGATTGATGTTCAATAAAGAAAATCACTTGTTCTTGAAGTATTGGTCGCTAAACATGCAAAACTACGAGGAAAACAAATTTTGGTTGTGGCTTTGGTTATGTGTTCTACTTCCTCTGACCCAGAAAAGTTTCATGCCGATTGAAGCTTTTAAAACAATCTTTTTTCCGATTCAATTTTTGAAATCCTCTGATGTATACGGGTAAGCACACAGTGTAAAGCGGGTAGAGAATTGAAAAAGAAGGTCATAGAGCCTAACCGGATTCGAGCTTTATAAGCAGCACGTAATCATGAATTTGCTTTCAGTATCTGCTAAGTATTCTACTGGTATGGTTCGTATGCTATTTGATGACAATAACGGGTTTTGAACCAGAAGGTGGCCAAGCCAGGACAGACAAAAACGTCTCCATGACAGTACTAAGAGAATCTCCATGGTTTCAAGTGCCGTATCCTGGTGAGAATTCCTAAGAATCTCTTTCTCACAATAATTGTTTGATTTAGGGCGATTTGGATTGCCAAGATGGAGTATAGGACTCTGTATGGCCTACTTAGCTTCTTGCTTATCTAGTGTGATTGAGAACATTGGCTCGTATGATTTATTGGCAAGAGTTTCGGAGCAACGACCACCACCCAAAAATGCTGTCAACCGAGCGATAATGGTCGAAGGTATCTAGAGAATTATTGCAAACATGATTCCTTGAAAATGATTACCAAGTAAAGGTATTAATGGGTACAAAGCCTCATACAGTTTGAAACTCTTTCACTGGATCGAGAAAAAAAACTGTGGCTCTTTGGAATGAACAATACAAAGTCATTATTTTTGAATGCGTTTATCTGTGAACGATTGCATTGAACTCATGCCTTTTACATCCTA